AGGCTAGAAGTAAGGAAATTAATCAAAAGTTGAGGCTACTAGTTAACAAAAAAGAATGCACAGGTTGTGGTAGTGGATTTAGAAAATAAAAGATGAGTCAAAAACAGCTTTAATATTTCAAGTTTAAGTTTTAAAAAATACTGACAATATACACACAGATCAGGGAAAGAAGATAATCTGAAGATGCAGCAGCAAGAACTGAGAAGAACAAGTTGGGAATTAAATCTTTTTAAACTAAAATAGTGGCAAGAATGTCAAGGAGTATGAGAAAAGTTTGCCTCAAAGACATGAGAACCATTTTCCTTGAAAGAAAACTGAGACTGTACAAGAGGTGACAAAGAGGTAAAGGGTAAAACACAAAGGGACATGTACAAACACTTAGAGTCAATTTAGAACAAAATAAACCACCCAAACAACAAAGAAAATTAATCTACCATACAAAATAAATAAAATCAAGTTTCCTATGGAGAGTAAAAAAAAATTTTAATTGGAAAAAAAAATCACATACATACTAGAACAACTACAAGTAGTGCTAGAAAAAGAACAAGAGGAATCATCTAGTAGTGATCTAAATTGGACAGATAATGCTCGTGTCCAAATACATACTCAATAAACATGAGATGAATGGATGGACAAATAAATTTTCTAAGTGATCTGTATACAATTAATGTTTAAATCTCCACTGAAATACAGTTTACCTTAAAATGCACTGAGATTTTATGTTCAGGAATAATAACAATAGCTATCACTATGAGCCACTAAGAAGATGTTACATATATTATCTCAATCATTAAAAGAACTTCATGAAAAAGACATTATGGTAAGGATAAATAGGAACAGAGTTCGAGAAACTTATCAATAATACAGTTGTAGAGTCAGAAATCCAACACAGACCTCTCTAACATATATGCTTTCTTATTAAATGACATCGAATTTTATTCCTTAACAATATGCTCAAATATATGAATGTGTCTATTTGTAGATGCATATATTTAGGCTATCTATAGTTAAAAATATGTAAAGCTACATTTTTTAATAAATATACTTAAAATTATTTTTATCAAGTACAACCAGTAGTTGATCCTATGAGGAGACTATTCTTTTTTTTTTTAACAAATAATCCAGTTTAAAATGTACAAAATGATGTAAAAATAAACTTTTGTAAAATAAAAAAAAAAAATAATCCAGTTTAAGAGGCATCTACTAATAATACTGTTTGCATCCACAAAAGCAATACTTAATCATTTACAAAACCTCTGAGTTTTTTTTTTTCACTAATTTCTATATGTAGCTAGAATATCCATTTGAAAGTAACTGACCAGTATAAAACTGCTGTATCTGGCTTTCAAAGAAAACAATGAGGCTCAGTTTATATATGGAGATCAAATTCTTTACCACAGAGTAGGGTAAGTTTGTGGGTCATCTCCTGCCCCAGACAGACTTTTTTCATAAAGTGTTTTGTTGAGTAGTTGTAACAGAAACCACATGACTCACAAAGCATAAATATTACTATCTGATATCTCTTTTTTAACCAAAAAGTTTACAGACACTTTCTTTCTAGTAAAAAGGAAAGCATACACAACAATTACATAAAAAACATGTTGGTTTTTTTCCCATGCCAATGTTTATGTTTAGCACACACTTTTAATTATATTAAACTCTAACATTTAATGACCCATTGAAAAAAATGATTAAAGCATATCCCATTGATCCATGATATGATTCTTATTCTTAAAATATTTTAGACTTCAAAAGGAAAGCTACAATTTTTTTCAACAGCAGCAACCAGTGCCTGTAAGTTGTATTCCTACAGGAATGTGTTTTCAGAAAAAACACTGTTAGAATAAAGATTAACAATTCAGAAAACAGATTTGGTTCAAGAATTGACAAATTTTAAAGTTAGAGTTGGAGGAAACAGGATGAAAATTAATTCACTTATAATGATATAATAGCTAGAAAGAAAATCAGTTAACAATTTTTTTTTAACTGGGAAATTCAATACTGAAGATTGACTCACAAACCCTGCATGCAAATTTACACATAAAGTCAACATTTTGAAAAAAACATATTTATATGGAAGATAATATAAGAACAAGGATTATTTTCTTTAGAAATCTTCATTAATCCTTCTGAATTCCATGTCCTCCATGTTCTCATAACACCTTTCATCTTCCTTAATCTAGCACTGATTGTACTCTATCATAAATGTTTAGTTGCATATATCTATATATATATAACTATTCTACATTTGTAATATTAACAAGGGTAAAAATCGTATCTTTTCCTTATCACTAAATCTCAAAGTCCAATAAACTGATAAGCATATAATAGGCACTTAGTAAATATGTGTAAAATGAATTAAAAAAGAAAAAAATCACATGGTAGAAATTCAAACCAACCTACATATTGAGTATTGTTGCCTAAAATATACAAAATAAAATCTATAAGATCCTAACACTTTTTCACATTTTAATTACAATTTAGTATTTTGGTTTATAAAATCTCAGTTAAGAGGTGATATATGTGTGCATCGCATTGGTTTAGGTTTATTTAAGGGTTCCTTGCCCAAAAAGAGTCTGAAAATCACTGTTATATAAGTCTGGCAAATGTAGCAATTAGGCTAGACAGGCTAAACATTCTCTTTTGGTTTATCAGTATCTCTACAACAATCTGCAGAAACTGCTAAATAACTTGATCGCTTGCCAATCAACTAATTTCTCTGGTAATATTTATTCATTCCTGACAGCAAGTACCAAAGCTATCTTTCTTATGATGCCATCTGGAGCAGTAGAAATAATTTTTAGTTCAAAAAGCTTTCCAAAGGACATGACATAAGGGAGGAACAAGTCATCCATATATCCTGAAATATCAGGAAATAGCACCTACTTCCTAATCCTGCTCCAGGGTTAGATAAAGAAGGAAAGTGATTCAAATTCTTAGCCAAGGAGCAGAGAGAAGAATATACATAGTTATCAGACTTAAGATGTCTTTGAAAGGACAAGTTTCTGATAAGCAACTTGTTATTTCTTAAGAGATGAAAATGAATCATCCCTAATAGCTAATATCTACAGTTATTCATGACAGACTAGAACCAAGGAAAGTAATCCTCAAAATGAGGGACAGAAAATAAGTGATCACCCACAGACTCTAGTAAGAGATACTTAAGAAATTGATATCATTATCCTAATTTTGAAGTATGTAACAGTTTCAAACAAATACCCAGTTTCCTCTTAACAGTAAACCAAGTCAAAGCATAAGTTTCCCAATCAAATGGTGGTGATGATGATAATAACAAAACCACAATTTTATGAATGTAATAATTATATGCTGCATAATTTGAACAATACATCAATTCTGGGAAACTATTAAGGCTAGTATCTTAGACCTTATTTTCTAGCTAATTCTCCCTTTGCTTACGTGAAGAGCAAGACTTGTTCAAAATCACACTAATAGGAAGCAGTACAGATGGAGTTAGAAACACAGTCTTTTAACAATCCAAAACTGCAATTACAGAAGTATAAACTTCCAGATCTCGAAACACAAAATCAAACTCCCTTATAAATATAACAGAATATATTATGTTATGCAGTACATTAGGAAGAGTAAGGATTTAGGAAGTACATTTAAATTTGGATTTTACTTTTGCTTTTTACTGGTTTATGTCCTTTGACACTGAGTCTCATTTGCAATCTATAAAAAGGGACAAAAATCTGACTATACAGAGTTTAAGATGTTAATAAGAAATATATAAATAAGTTAAACTATGTAAGCAAAATTCTATCTATAATTATAAAAGACAAAAAAGGTTCAAATTCCTTCTTTACTCTACCCCCCCCCTTTTACTTGTGGCAAAAGACACAATAAGAAAAATTTTAAGGGGTAATAAAGATAAGCAGATAAAGAAAGAAGGGAGTGAATAATAATAACACCAAAATGCTATAAGAAAGTTTTGATCTAGGAAAGGTAAACAGAATGACTTATCTCCCTGGGAAAGAAGAAATGGCTATTATTTGTTCAATTATGAAGAGAAATGACTTGTTTTTCTAGGAATCCTAGACATATAAACATGAAAGAAAAAGTAAGATCAGGAAGTCAACTGAGAAAATACCCAGGAATCTCACTAACCAGAAAAAAATGAAAGTAAATGCTCCATAAGGATTCTCTTTTACAGAGGCCAATGGACTTTATCTTTTATCCCTTTATCTTTTAGCTTGATACAACTAGACAAGAAGGGCCTGAAAACACTAAAGAATCTGCTGAGAAGAGGAAAACTAAAAAATTAAAAGGTATAGGGTTTTTTCAATCATTCTAGATGCTAGAAACATATGCTTCTCCCTTAGGTCATGTCTCCCAAAATAGCACTGCAAAAATACCAAATGGCACAACAAAGATATACCTACCAGCTGTCAGGGATGTCTCAAGTCCATCTTTAAATGAAACAGCTGAGACTCACTCTACTTCTTCATATAACTCTGAACTGCTACCAGTGTAAAAGGTATTATTTCTTACACTGGGAAAGGGGCAGGAAAGAATAGGCAAATCAATGAATTATATATGGATTCAAATTCAAATTAGTCATTTGTTTCAAATATACTATTCTACTCTGATTCATGTCATTAGTAATCAATAACAAAGAACGTAAGTTTAAAATGTTCATAATCAAATAGAATGCAGTCTCTTTTATACAACCATCTACAAATAGCTAAAGTTATTTAAACTGGCTATTTATGTTCTTCACAAGAAAATATAAGAACTCAAATTCACAAGTACGCTATTGCCCTCCCCAACTATACACAAGTTATCTATAAGTGTCTTAACAGTCAAACAGAACAACCTTGAAGTCTAAATATATCTCTTTTAAAAGAAAATATTGATAACTTTTCCAAAGTCCTGTATCTTTTTCACAATCTAAATGTGTAATACATTAATGTTAAAATAAACATTATCAATCTGTTAGTAGCAATGGGGATAGAGGAAAATAAAGAAACTATTGGACATACCCTATGTAATATTTCTAAAACCTTTAATGCAGTGTGAAGAAAACTGTTGAAAATTCTTCGTTCAGAAGGGGGAATGCCGATCTTGTAGAGTTTCAAAAGATGTACCACAACTTCCTTAAAAAGTTCTACTATCTTGAGGAATAGTGGAGGTTCAAGTACTGACCACCAGTTTTCTGTTATTAAAGGGTGAACATGCAAATAAAATGAATTTTAAATATCACAATTTTCAAAATTATACTGACTTTGCTTCTAAAGCGGTGACTCTTATTAAAAATCTCAGAAAGATACACATTATATAATATTTAACGTAACATTTTTAAAGGTCAATAGACCCCACTACACCCAAGTTAAAACTCTAAAACTCCCAAAAATAAAGGAAAATCTATTGAAGTCACTTTCTTGGTTTCCTAAATTATGTTAAAAATTAACCATTATACTTAATATAAAGTCCAGTAGTTAAAACTGCTTTGAAAATTAGAATTTTAATATTTAAACACTTTAAAAGTGAATTGTTACAATTTAAGAATATTTCCAAATTTTAGCTTTCAACTTAACATAAAATTGAAATAGTATAAAATCCTTCCAAATACAATACTCCAATACTTCAATACAATACTACAATTCTTTAAAAAGAGAAACAGGGCAGTGTAAAGTATAAATGATCTGTCCTTCCCACATTCAGTTTTTTAATTTAATATCTCCAAATACCATAATCATGTGAGACAGAAAGAATATAAAAACTTCTGATAACACAGAAACAATACCCTTGGAGTCCTGCTTCTTTATTCTACTATGGGCTAAGTGCCTCACATTTGTTCTCCTTGTTTGCTTTCTTCTGCTCACCTAAAATTTCTTACAATGTTTTTATTACTTTCTGTATCTCAGCTTACTTTACCTAGCAAATACTATCAGAGTAAGCACTGACTTAAATATAGCAAACAAACTAAACTACGTAAAGGCCAGGAGATGAGGATGAAACTGACACAAATAGAAAAATTAAAGTTAGAAAAGTATAGACTAAAAAACAAAGCAGATAGAGGCAGAACTATAAAATTACATGACTTGCAGAATTTCACCTACACATAGAGAAATAAAATCAAACATGAGGAAAATGGCAAATAAGGGGAATTAAGGCAAAAGGTTAACAGAGTTCAGAGGATTTAAAAACCAAGTTTAGTTAGTTTTAACTGTTTCTCTTTTAACCACAAGATCACTCTGAAGGGTTTGACGAAGGGGAATATGGAAAACAGTTTTCATCTTTCCTAATACTGTCTCTGTTGTTGTGTTCAAAATTTCTAATATTTAACATAACCTGCCTTCAACAGCTAACATCACACAAATAGAAAAAAGCAACAAAAGCAAAAACAAGTTTTTCCCCTCTACATAATGTCAAATAAGCAGAGTAGCAAAATTTCCAACAGTAAAAAACAATTAATGAGTATTTTCATGTAAAGGTATAAGTTTCAGGGACCTCTCTGGTGGCGCATTGGATTAAAGTACAGCACTAACAGTCAGGCTAGCGACAGCCACTGCAGCATGAGTTTGATCCCAGCCAGGGAGGTGACCCACATGGCACAGCAGACCTCTCCTGACCCACCCACTGCTCCTCTCAGCAGTGTATTTCAGTCTATCTGCCTCTTCTGCTTTCCATTCTGTCTCTGGTGAATCCTCTCACCTACCACAACTTTGGCCTGTAACCCAGTTCTTATTGAAAAAAAAAAAATGCATCTTAAATAAAGGTAAAAGGTTTTAAAAGAAAAATATTATTAAAATTCTTACCAAGTACTTTCAGTGGTGCCTTTTCGAGGTTCACAAGAGCTGTACCAAAGGGAATTGCTATTGTTGTGAAATTATTGGAATCACTCATCAGGGGACATTCTGGTAGAGTAAGATAAAACCTCAATGCTTCAACATCAGGTAAGGAGCTAGTCAGTTTAGGAATAAGATTCTTTTCCAAACTAGCTGCCACCTATATTTTGATAAAAAGTAAAACCTACTTCATTTAAAATGAATGTACTATTCAAAAAGAAATTCTTAAACTATAGCAAACATGATATTGTATCAAAAAAAAAAGCCTATCTTACAATTAATGAATGAACTTCAGTGGTGAAAATTAATGCCTAAAACACTGCTGAAAATTTTTAAAAACTGTTTTGTGCAAGTCTCAATTTTGATTCTCTACACCTTTACAACTATAAAGACTTAGCCAAAATGTTAAGGTTTGTAGATATTTGGCAACTAAATTATAAATGCTTTTTAAAAAATCTTATTTAATAATATACTAGTATATTTAGTAAAATCACATAAAGCACATCATAAGAATATGAGATCATAGAGTTGGTTAGGCTATAAACATGTAAAGTACATGGAACAAAAAGCTCAAGAGGCTTTATGTTACAAATATAAAATTTTAAAAACAAACCTGCTGAGATATCTGAGGATGATCAGGTTGTATAAGTTTGTGGAATAAAAGCCTAGCAGCATTCATATCAACCCCTGAAAATCTGGTACCTGTTCTATAGTGATCATCATTGCTTAAAAAGAGAGAAAGAGAATAATAAAGCATTAAAATTATTTCACTCATTATTTAATATTATTACTTAATATAATAAACTTTAGTTTCAGCATGCCAAAAAACTGCCACTTACCTAACAGCTAAAAAACTTCCATTTAAGCAACCAGAGGAAGAAAACGTTCCATCTATTTCACTGAAAAGAAATTTAAAAATCCCCAAATCACAAAATGAAAATTTATTTACCTTCCTTTAAGTAAAAATTAAATATTTAAAATCTAATGCAATTGAGCACTTAAGGCAACACTCAATTAGAATATATCAGAATTCTATACATTTCTAAAAATTGGTTAAAGTTTAGTAAAGATATCAATTTACCCTACACACTCTCTTAAAGAAGTCAGATGTTCTTAAACAAATTTTTTAATGTAAATATATGCATTTCATTTCACATGGCAGTAAAGTAAATCTGCAATGTTATTTTTCTGAAGTCTGTTTAGGCTTTTAAGAAAAGTTGTGTTTGGGCAGACAATCTAAAGTAAGTAAGTTTATCAGCTATAGCACCTCACTCCAAGTATCAATACCACCATCAACAACAAAAACCTAAGTACTTAATAAATTTATTTAAGCAAAACACTAAATGGATAAATTTTAATATCAAATCTTTAGGGATTATAAAAGTTAAAAACCTGTAATACTATGAAGTCAGAAAGACTATTTCGAAGCCAAGTCTGAAAGTTTTATTTTTATCATTCAATGTATTATCATGTATATGAAATAACTACAGATTATATAAATTTAAGTAGGGCCCTTTTAAAATATACATTACTATATAATTTTTTGACATTTAAATTTTTGTATGTAAACTATTCAGTGAGTGATATTTAATGAAGTATTCGTTTAAATGAAAATTCAGAACTACAGGTTGCTCCACCACGAGTTGCAAGGTGAGTAAAATTATTTTCTTACTTGGCTATCTCCACAGGAAACCTTCCAGGGGGATAGCTCAGCCATTTCTGAATTAGAGTTTCATTCACAGTCCAGATTTGCTTTGAAGGATCTGGACATCTAAAGTCATCTGGTGGCCCACAGTTCTAAATTTTAAAAAAGATAAAACAGTGTGAAAGTTAATACATATATAACTTAAAACCAAGACACACCTCCACTATATGTTTGCTTAAAAAAAAAAAAAAGTGAAGTAATTCTCAACTAAACACTTATCCAATAGATGAGACAAAAATGTAGACTTAGAAATTTAAATCAACTATCAACTCAAAATTAAGGCACTATTTTAAATATATAGAACATTAATATAAGTTTAAAAATCTTCAAAATTAGTTGAGCTTAGTGATTATACAAAAATGATTACCTGGGGACTAGAGTAATGTGAAAAGCTTTGATCTCCACCTGAGAAAATTCTTTTTACACAGAAATATTCCTCAGAATCTGTAATTAAAATATTAAAATTTCAAGATTTATAAGACATTTTTCAGTGCATAAAATATGCTATTAAATTTTCTATTAATTACATAACTTAGAGTGCCTACTCATGGAATCATGCTTCCAATGACTTGGAACATTCTGATTTTTAAGATGAGACTGATCAAGTAGCAAACATTAAGTGATTCCATAAGTATAAGCAGTAGCTGGGAAGTTCACAAGTTTTTCTTGTGGATTACACTGTAAGATGGCTGTGTCTGGTCCACACCTTTATTATCTCAGTATACTTTAGTTTAAAATGAAAAACATAAAAATATAGACAAACCAAAGAAAATAAACTGCAATTCAAAACTATTTTCTCTTTCAATAATACTTCAAAAATAAGGAGACATATATGTCTTTTCTATTGGTGACAACGTATCAATAAAACCAAATCAGGCCAATAATAAAGTAGTAAAGAAAGAAAGAACAATACACTTCTTTTCAAAAAGATATCCAAAGCCTCTTCCTTTTTCTTCACTTCTGCTCCTCAAAGTAAAAAGAGTATGTACCAAAGAAACCACTAGGCCAGTATTTAAAGACATCAATACCATAATGTCAAAGTTCTATACTAAAATTAAAGGTTAACTATTTCCAAATATAATCTATTTCTGTCATTTCCTGAGTACCACCTGTCACATTCTGTCATAGTCCTAAGCCCCAGTTTAGTTGACTGGGGTATTCACCTTGTAATATCGTGGCTATAGCTGCTACAAAATGAAAAATTCTTAAAAGCATCACATCTTAATTTTTTTGATAATTCTTTACAGGCAAACATGTTTTATTTCAAAAGAATTCAATATTTGTCAATATGAACACATAACATATACCTAGTTTAAAGAACATTAATACACACACATCTCCCACAATAAAAATGTTCTAAAATCAAAAACAACTTTTAAGAATAAGAACAGATTAAAAAGATAAAACTAAAATATTAAATAAACTGGTCATTTGCAAAAGCCCACATGAAAATGTTTACTTCCTCAAGAGTTAGCAAGATGTTACTCATTTATTCCTAAATAGTGATTTTATTTTCTACAAATAATTATCAGTATACATGAATGGGTTTCTAGGGACTATGAATAAATAGAATACCCTTAGTTTTTTCCTAATTTTCCTTTAATTACTACTCCAAAAAGTTTGTGAAACAGTCCTTTGTCTCATACAGCTTCCTGCAGACTGGATTCTCACCTATCCCTGAGGTTTCTTCCAACAACAATCTTCATTTGCTGCATTTGTAAAAATAGACAGGAATCTAAAGAGGCTAATTAAAATGTGATTATTTAAGTAAAATTATTCTTTGATGTTGGAAGAGACTGTACTTCCACAAGAAGTACACAATGTCTGGCTGGGTATTTTTGTGTGTGATTTTAGCAGACACTGATATTCAATATTTAAACCATTAATTCACTGTAGGTTGAAAAGTGGTGAAATGCTAACAATGCTTCTTCATTTTGTAGATGGATCATTAACTGCTCCCTAACTATAACACAGGTTCTTGGCCTATAATAGGAAAAGAAAGATTAATCTTTCCTCATTTCCATTCATTTACTATGTGTTTGCTTTTTGAGTTTGCATTCCTTTGATACCAAAGGGGCAATAATATTTTCATTTTTCTTCAATTCTGATGGTATCTAAAAGATATGATCAGATTCCCCTGGGTATAGGCTCAGTCTGCCAAGACCATTCTCCACTTCAGGTACTAGTCACAAGTAACAGTTATTACCTTGCTTCTCACCAACTGGGTTACAAACCCAGGACTCCTTCCTCAGGTTCAACTAATTTGCCAGAGCAGCTCACAGAACTCAAAACAAAAAATCACACTTACTCATTAGAGCAAAGATTACTTACAATGATTATTATTCAGAGGCTGCCAGATAGAAGAGATACATAGGGCAAGGTGTGGAAAACAGGCATGGACTATTGGTGGCCTCTACATGAGTGCCATTCTCCTCAAATTGTCATAAGTTCACCAAACTGAAGCTCTTTTAAAACGTTCTTTTTGAGACCAAAAACACTGATTCAAAAAGACACCTGCACCCCCATGTTTACTGCTGCTTTACTTACAACTGGAAAGACATGGAAACAACCCAAATGCCCAAAAGTAGATGACTGTATTAAAAAGATGTGGTACATATACACAATGGAATATTATTCAGCAACCAAAAAATAATAATAATAAACACATGCCTTTTGCAACAACATGTATGGAGCTGGAAAAGATCATGCTTATGAAATAAGCCAGTAAAAAAAAGAAAAAAGAAAAAATACCAGATGGTTTCACTCATAGCAGGAATATAAAGGACCAGGGCAGAAAATAGAAATGATAAACAACTATATACCAGAGACATTTTATGGGGGTGGAGTGGGGAATGGGGTCAAAAATGGTGGGGGGAGGGAAATGCACTGGACTATGCTGATGGCACACGGGTGGTGTGGTGATGGAAAGTGCATGGGGATTACAACTAAGATGGAAAAAGGCACAAAATGATGTAAAAATAAACTATTATATTATTTAAAAAAATATTCTTTTTGGATCTTTTATAGAGGCTTCATTAAACAGTCATGATTGATGAAATCATTGGCTCTTGGCAACTGACATCAAATTCTATCCCTTCTTCCCTCCCAAAAATGGACCAATCACCCCATCTTAGACTCAAAGTTACACCCTCAATTCGCATTAGTTTCCTTGGCAACCACGAAACATACACACAGTTTCTCCTAGTTACCTTCATTAACATAATAAACCCATTAAAAAATAACATGACACCCATCTAAACTTTCATAGCTCAGAAACCTTGTAAGGAACTGACTATAAAAGACTAAATATTATGACAAAAGGTATTCCCATTGTTTTTACTACTCAGGAAATTCCAAGAGGAGCTATGAAATAAAATAAACTCCCAATGCTGTTATCAGCTCAGCACATTCCAAGAACTTTGGAAGCCATGAGCCAAGAACTATGGATAAAGACCAAAAATACAAAGAATAAACTTTGGACATCTGCCTACCTATATATTCTCTCTCTCTCTCTCTTTTTCTCTCTCCCTGACGTCTGCCTGCCTATATTCTCTCTCTCTCTCACATGCACACACACACATACACACACATATTTCTGATAAACTACAATTATTTGACCCATAAAAACAAATATAAACAAAACCACCAAATACACTATTCTGTGCCTCCTACTTTCACTCAATAATAAATATTAGAATTCTTTCATTTCAAGTATAAAAAGCTTAATCATATAAGAGCAATATTTTAACAATAACATTAATGGGTGTAGTAAGTATAATAGAATAACAGCGAAATGTAACAGAACTTACCAACATCTGGCGGATATTGCCCATTATATGGGAACCAATTTCCCTTCACAGTGAAAGGACTTTTCCTGTTGCTTGTTGAACCAGTTCCAAGTTGCCCATTACCACCAAGTCCAAAAGAATAAATTCGTCCTGATGAAGGAACAAAAGCAGAAGTGTGCTGCCTAGAGTAAAATAATAGAAAACCTCAGACTTAATGCTACCTTCCAATTTACATTTTTCAAAAAGCACAGTAAATATGAACTGATATAATTTTTCCCCTTTAAAAGCAAACTACTAAGGCCATTATAGTTGCAAAATTTCCATTACTAACTTAATACTATATATTCATAACTAACTAATACTAAATGAACTCTATATCCCACAGGTAGGCTGCATAATCATGGCCAAGAAAATGTACACAAATGTTCAAATTTTGAAAGGGTTTGACTTATACTGAATCCACTGTTAACAGATGATTCAATCCTAGAGGTAGTGTCTAACCATGTTCCTCCCCTCCCTCTAGATTCACTCTCAGGGTCTAGCCAAGAGGCCTGATCTACCAAGACCTACCATATGAACCACGATAGGAATTAGGGACCCAAACCTGTATTTGAAGTTAATGGCCTACTTATTATTGCTTTTGTTCACAGAAGTCTAGACACAAAGTGGGTAAACCAATCTTGTGCCCTTTTTGATCACTATCTCCATCCAGATGAAGAAACTTCTAGAGGATTTAAAAGGCTGGCACTTTATTCCTCCTTTATTTCCTCACTTTCTTTTTTTTTTGTTGCTTCCCCCCCCCCCACTTTGGGAGTCAGATATTTAAGATCTAGAACATTCTAAAGAAACTGCATATATATGTATATATATATGGTAATTTAGAAAGTCACTGTACTTGCCTAGGGGAAAAAAATCAGCAAATTTAGAGGGAAAAAATCTGATTTCCAATGTGACCACATTATAAGATTCAAATATCAAGTTTAAAAAATCAGATGGCTCAGAGAGAAAGTACAAAGTATGGTCAAGGAAAAGGAATCCAATATAGGAATGCAAAATGATACATCCATTTTAGTTACTTGCTTAAGCAGGATCATGTTACCCATTATTTATCCAAAGGTAAAAAAACATTTTTCCACACAAAAAGCTGCACTTGGATATTTATAGTAGATTTATGCGTAATTGTTAAAATTTGGAAGCAACCACTGTGTCCTTACTGTGTCCTTCTAGTAGGTGAGTGAATAAACAAAGTATGGAACATCCAGACAAATGAAAAAAAAAATTTAATGATAAAAAGACATCACTAACAAACAACTAAAAAGTAATAACCCAATCAAAAAAAGGAAGTGGAAGTGTTAAACAGACATGTTTCTAAAAATATATACATGACTAAGAGGCAAATGAAAAAAATGCTCATCATCATTTATCAGCAGGGAAATGCAAATCAAGACCCATGCAATACCACATCACAACTGAGATGTGAGAATGGGCCATACTGAAAAGACCAAAACCAAGAAGTGCTGGCCAGGATGTGGAGAAAAGTGAACCCTCCTACAGTGATGGTAGGAATACAGATTGGTCCAGCCTTTATAAAAATCAGTATGGTGATTAAAAATGGGTGTGTCATATGAACCAGTAGTTTCACTCCCAGGCATCTTTCTGAAAAATCCATAAATATTAATTTAAAAGTAAACTTTCATTTCCATGTTTACTGCAGCACTATTTACAATAGCCAAATTATGGCAACAACCTCAGTACCCAAAAATGGATGAGTGGATCAAGAAGGTATAGTGTGTGTGTGTGTGTGTGTGTGTGTTGTGTATACACACACACACATATACATCATACATATACACACACACTCACAACATAATGAACATTACTGAGGGATCAAAAAAGATAAACCCATGCCATTTGTGACAACATGGATGGAGCTGGAAGGAGTAATGCTAAATGAAATAAATCAGGAGAAAGATAAATACAGGTGAGTGTCACTGCGATATGGAATACAAAAAACTGCACTAAGGATCAAATGAAAACTAGCTTTAACTCTTGGAACTGCACTAAACTATGGTGATGGCACAGGGTGATTTGGTGATGGGAAGCCCCCCAACTGAGATGGAAAAGGCACAAAATGATGTAAAAATAAACTATTATATTATTTAAAAATAATAATAATAACCCTTGGAAGCTGACAACAGAATTGAGGCCTGGGATAGGGTGGTGGTGTGGTAGGGTGGTGGTGTGGTAGGGTAAGAACAAAGAGGAAAAGAAGTACAATGGACTATAGTAGTTTAGTTGTGGGTATACTACAAGTAACTTTATTCATAATTGTCAAAATTTGGAAGCAACCAATATGTCCTTCCAGTAGGTTAGTGAATAAAGTATGGAACATCCAAGCAATGAAATGTGGAGATATTTGATAGGGGAGCCTAGTGTTACCTCAATTAAAATAATTAAATAGGGGCCTCCCTAGTGATCCAATGATTTAAAGCACAGCACTGTGAAGATGTCCACAGACACTATCGCTTGAGTTCGATCCCTGGCCAGGGATGTGACCCACATAACACAGCAGACCTCTCCTGGTCCCACTGGCTGCTCCCCTCAGCAGTATGTTTCAGTGGATCTGCCTATTCTGCTCCCCACTCTGTCTATTAAATCCTCTCACCCCCTGACCCACAACTCTGGCTTGTACCCTGTTCTTGTATAAGTGAATGAATCTTTAAAATTTAAATAAATTTATATTTGAAAAAATAAAGTATGATAGTTTACAGAAACATGAAATAAATATTCAAAGTGACATTATTTGCAACTGCCAAAAAATGGAAACACCCAAATGCTCATTAGTAACAAAGTGAGTAAATTATATACATATAATTAAACAAAATACAGCAATGAGAGCTAATGATAGAAGCCACAGGTTCACAAATGTAACCACACAAACATTTTTACAGGTGTACTTTTATAAAGGCCATCCACCATGCGATTCCACCCATTTGAAGTTAACAGTTGGCAAAACCAAACTATATTGTATAAGGATATTTACAGAGTAGGGGAAAATTAAGCTAAATAATAAAAATTGAATTAACTATTCAAGCAAAGTACATTCTCCTTGGGAGGTTAGCTAAATTAATTAAAGAACTCCAACTCTTCTATTTACTCCAAAGAATGGAAACCAGTAAATCAGTATTCTAAATCAACTTCCACCATAACTAGTCTTCCTTGTTAAATAACTAACTCACCAATTTCTTCATTTTACAAAGAAAAAAAATTGGAAAAAAGATTTATAGTTTTCATTTCAGGTGATGCTATACATTAAAAAGTAACAATTTGCATACATATAATTAACATCTTGCCTCAGATAGATTTATTTCAAATTTTAAAAGTTAAATTAATAAGTATAAAATGTGTCTCTCCTGGATGTGGAGAAAGAGGAACTCTCCTGTACTGCTGTTGAGTATGCAAACTGTACAAACACTAAGGAAAACTGTTTGGAGGTTTCTCAAACTACTAAAAATGGACCTGCCATATGACCCAGCACTCCCACTCCCAGGTATTTATTCAAAAGACATACAAACACTGATCCAAAAAGACAACCACACCCTCATGTTTACTGCTGCTTTATTTACAATAGGAAAGACATGGAAACAACCCAAATGCCCCAAAAGTAGGTGACTGGATTTAAAAGATGTGGTACATATACACAATGGAATATCTCTCAGCAATCAAAAAAGATAAGCTCATGCCTTTTGCAGCAACATGGATGGAGCTGGAAAAGAGCATGCTTAGTGAAATAAGCCAGAAAGAAAAAAATACTAGATAGTTTCACTTATCACAGAAGCATAAAGGACCAGTGGGGAAAAAAATAACAATAATAAACAGCTATATACCAGAGACATTTTATGGGGGTGTAGTGGAGAATGGGATCAAAGATTGTGGGGGGAGGGATGCATGGGACTATGGTGATGGAACACAGGTGAACTGGTGATGGAAAGTCCATGGGGATTACAACTGAGATGGAAAAAGGCACAAAACAATGTAAAAATAAACTATTATAATTAAAAAAATGTGTCTCTCCTGTTACTATGATTCTCCAGCAGCAATTTTTTGGTATTTTTTTAACTTTTAAATGTAGTACTTTGTTTTTATATCATTGTTAATTTTTCCAGCAACAATTTAGACATTTGGGGGAGAATAACTTTTATCTCAGATTACAAGATGTCTAAACAATGCATTAAAAAAAATCCCTACTTTCAGTTGGAACCAACCATCTTTAAATAATTCTCAAAAAGTCCATCACAAGGAAAAGACACACCCTCTGTGTATTTTCTAGGCTTCTTAGAAAACACATAGTTGTTCCATCCAGAAATACAATATTGTAGACATCAACATTAGTTAAGAATAGTCAGAAAAGGAATGAACCATGGCAAAACTGGAAGAATTTACAATGTCACCCTACTTGCTTTTGGCATGTTTTGCAAACGACATAAAGAGTAAGATGCTTGAAAACAGAATTAGTATCCACAGTAAAAACATTTTTTAGCAATCTAAGATAGCTTCCTGAAATGCATGAAGGGAAATGATCAAAGAGAGAGAAATCAAGGAGAAAGATGCTTCAGTACAACCTACGTGACACCTGCTGCACCCAGAGAAGCACACTTTGTGACAACTAATGAAAAGAAACCATGGGCTGCTGGAACCCATTCTACATGAATTCATGGCATTAAGAGGTATTAAAAAAAATCATAGTCACAAGATTATTTTATAGAAATCAAAATACTCTTTTTACATAATAGTTTACCTTCCACAAGCAATCTGAGTGACAATGCTCCCCATAAGTTCAAAAACTTTCCTTGGATTTATTTCATGACTGGTAGAATTGTGACCCAACTGACCATACCCTCCAGCTCCAAAAGTAAACACTCCACCTTCCTTAAAAAAAAAAAAAAAATCTTTATCATTAGAAAGCCTGACAAAAGAAAATAATTTTAGGAAAATAAATTAACTTTTAGTTTGAAATCAATTTTTCTTTTATATTGTCTTCTCAACTTAATAGGTCAACTGATTTTCCAAAGCAAACTGTCTTAAAACTGAGAAATTCAGAATGAAAGCTAAATGTTTTCAACAATATATTTAGTTGAAGTCATCAGTGAAAAGATACTAACAATTTGTTTCAACATTACCTTTTATTATCACTTTACTTGCTGAATTGCAAGTATACATCTATAAATTTTCACAAAATCTAAAAATGGTACCATCTTCAGTTTTCAAATCAGTTATGCTTGTACCAGAAAAGTTCTGCAAAGAATATATGTAACCAGAGTGCACAAACACAGCTGGTTTTAGCATACAGTTAGTACAAAACAGATGGCTTTCAAAATTTTAATTATAAAAATATAAAACCAAATTAGAGGTTATGTGCTTAAATTACAATTTGTGATGATAATAGCACAATTCAGATTTTCCAAGGTTGAAAATACTACAATATATGCACATTTTCTTTATCAATTAACTTAAAGATAGACATAGGTTATTCGGTTGTTGTGAACAATAGTGCACTGAAAATGGGAATGCAATTATCTCTTTGACATTTCCTTTTCACTTCCTGATAATTATGAATTTACTTTTGAGCATTTTTTTATGTACTGCTGTCCTTTATATATAGGTTGTTTGGGAAATATCCAAGTTCTTTAAATTGAATTATTTGGTTGGTTTTCTTTCTTTCCTTTTTTTTTTTTTTTTAAGCCACTGAATTATAGAAGTTGCTTATGTAATTTAGATAATAGTGCCTTATTACACATAAGGTTTGTAAATATTTTCTCCTATTCTCATTTTCAATTTGTTGACTACTTCCTCTGGTCTGTCAGTCTCATTTAAGTTTAATGTCGTTTACCTGTCTATTTCTAGGGTTTTGCCCATATTTTTGGTTATTACTCGTACACAAATGATCACTAAGACTATTATTATCGAAGGCACTTACTCCGTTTTCTTCTGCAATTTTTTTAGTTACAGATCTTACATTTAAGTCTTTTTTTTTTAAGATTTATTTATCTGTGCATACAGAGCTGAGGTACAGGCCAGAAGAGCAGGGGCAGTGAGAGGATTCACCAGAGACAGAGTGGTGAGCAGAATAGGCAGATCAACAAAGTACACTGCTGAAGGGAGCAGTAGGCAGGTCATGAGAGGTTTGCCATGCCATATGGGTCACCTCCCTGGCAGAGGATCAAACTCATGCTGTAGTAGCTGCAGTTAGCTTCATAGTGCTGCATTTCAACCATTGTACCACCAGGGAAGGCCCATTTAAGCCTATAAAATATTTTGTGTTACATTTGGTGGTGAAAGGGACAAACAGAGGTCCAGTGTAATACTTTGCATGCAGATACAGTTTTGTCAGCCCCATATAGTGAAGAGACTGTATTTTCCCACTGCATGTTCTTGTCACCTTATCAGTAATTATATGAACATTTGTGTCAGCTTATGTTTAATTAAACTATTATTTCACTGTTCTATGTGTCTATTTTTATAATAGTACCATATTGTTTTGATAATAATGCTTTGCAATGAAGTTTGAAATAAGGAACTTGATGCCTCCTTTAGCTTTATGGTTTGGTGTGTTGTGTCTTTTTTTCCTCTTATTTTCAATATTGCTCTGGTTATTGTGGGTCTTTTGTGGTTCCATGCAAATTCTGTTATTTTTTCTATTTCTGTGAAAAATGCCACTATGATTTTGTAGTATCATTTTTCAAATGATGCTTACAGAATCGGATTAAATCTGTAAACAATGTCTTTCAGTAACGGTATTTTAACAATATTAATTCTTCCAATTCAAGAAAAGGGACTATCTTTCCATTTGTGCTTTCTTCAATTTCTTTCATTCATCTCATATGTAGTTTTCAGTGATAGGTCTTCCACTTCCTTGGTTATCTTATTTCTAAGTCTTTGTTGGTTTTGACAGTATTATAAATAATGGGACCACTTTCTTAATTTCTCAGAGAATGTGTTCTTATATAAAAATGCAGTTGATTTTTGTATATTGTTTTTGTTACCTATAACTTTATTGTATTCATTATAAATGAATAAAAAAAATTGGTGGAGCCATTAGGGTTCTCTAAATATAAAATTAAATCATCTGTAGAGACAATTTTAACTTCTTCCTTTCTAATTTGGATGCCTTTCATTTCTTTTTCTTGCCCAAATGGCCTGACTTGAACTTCCAAAATTATCCTGAATATAGATAGCAAGAGTAGGCATCCTTGTCTTGTTCCTGATCTTAAGTGAAAGCTTTCAGTCTTTCATCAGTGATTATGATGTTAGCTGTGGGCTTATCATATATATGACCTTTGTTATGTTGAGGCATATTCCTTCTATACCTAATGTGTTGAGATTTTTATCATGAAAAAATATTGAATTTTGTCAGATTCTTTTCCTATGACATTTTTGGTGATCATATAGTTTTTATCCTTCATTCTATTAAAGTATCATGGCTGAATTGTATGAATTAAACAACTTGTATCTCAGGGATAAATCCTAGTAATTCTGGCATATGATTTTAATGTGCTGTTGAATTTGGTTTGCTAATATTCCTTTGGGATTTTAAACACACTCACGAGGGTTACTGGTGTGTAATTTTCTTTCCTTGTACTATCCTCACCTACTTGTTGTATCAAAACAATGCTGGCCTCATAAAATGATTCTGGAAATGTACCTTCCTTTTGAATACTTTAAGAAATTGAGGACTGGCATTTATTCTTTAGTAAGTGGTTGAATTCAATAGTAAAGTCACTTCCTTTATTCATGGGAGAATTTTGATTACTGGCTCAATCTCCTTAGAAGTTAAAAGTCTACTCAGATTTTCTAGTTAATAAGTCAGACTCAGCCACTGTATGTTACTAGATATTTATCAATTTATTGGTATGTACTTATTCACAGTAGTTAGTCTCTTGTGATCCTTTGCAATTCTGAGTTATCAGTTGTAATGTCTCTACTTTCATTTCTAATTTTCAGTCTTTTATCATTTTTTCTTAGTCTAGCTAAGATTTGTACACTTTAACTTTAAAGGATAGTCGTGGGACCTCCCTGGTGGTGCAGTGAGTTAAAGCACAGCACTAACAAGCTAAAGCCACTTAGTTATGAGTTTGATCCCCGGCAGCCCTGGAGGTGATCCACATGGCACAGCATATCTCTCCTGACCTGCCAGCTGCTCCCCTCAGCAATGCACTTTGTCAGCCAGCCTGTCCTGCTCCACACTCTGTCTCTGGTGAATCCTCTCACTGCCCCTGCACCTCTGGTCTGTACCCCTGTTCTGTATGCATAAATAAATAAATCTTTTTAAAAAATAGTCCTTGGTTTGTTTTTGTTTTAGTCTTTGTTTTTTGCATCTTTAATATTTCTTGCCTTCCTGTAACTGGTCTTTTTTTTTTTTTTAATTGTTCTTTTAGGTACAAAGTAAGGCTGTTGAGAGCTTTCTTTATCACAATGTAGATGCTCAATGACATGAACATGTCTCTTTGAGATGCTTACACTGTATCACTCAACTTTTGGTATATTGTGTTTCCATTTAAATTTGTCTTAAGATTTTTCTTTTATTTCCTTTTTATGACTTCTTTTCTTCTTTGACTAACTGCCCAGGAGTGTGGCTCTTTTTTTTTTTTTCTTTTAAAGTGTGCCATTCTCACTGGGGTGAGGTGGTATCTCATTGTGGTTTTAATTTGCATCTCCCTTATTATAAGTGATGAACATTTTTTCATGTGCTTGTTGGCCATCTGGACAGATGCTTTTAGTCTGGTCCCCCGAATGAGAACAGCTGGACTGAAAAGAGTTCAAAGGAATTGTCCCAAAGGATGCAGACCATATGACAGACGAGCTGCTGGCAATCCCACAGCTCCCAGCCTCTAATCCAGGGCTTCTTCCAGAACCTGGTAGGAACTACGTTGCTTTTCCCCAAATAAGAACTTCATTTTTTAGAGCAGTTTCAAAAACCTTCTTGATGGTGGCAATCATTTCCTCACAAAATATGCAAGGTATACCTCTGAAAAAAGTCATGTTATACAACCTAAATAGGTGTGTATGTATATATAAAACAGTTTATTTTTACATCATTTTGGGAGTGTGGCTCTTAATTCACATATTTGTGGATTTTCCTATTTTTCTTACTAGTAGTTCTAGCTTAATATTATAATTGTTGGAAAAGATACTTGATATAAATTCAATCACCTTAAATATGTTGGAAAAGATACCACATATAAATTCAATCACCTTAAATACTGTGACCTACCATATGGTCTATCCTACAGAAAAGTTGCATTATGTTACTGAGGAGAATGAATATGCTGCTGTGACTAGATGAAATTTTCTGTGTTTATTAGGTTCATTTGGTATTAAGTGTTATTCAATATTTTCTTTCTAATTTTATGACTGAATGTTCTATATATTCATTATTGAAAGGAGGGTATTTATTATTGTGTTGCTATTTCTACCTTCAGAAACTTAAGCATTACTTATATGCCCAGGTGCTCCATATGTATAGGTATATATATTTGTACAATTACTATATCTTAACCAAGCTACCCACTTAAGTATTAATTTCTGAATACCATTTAATACTGAAATCACGTTTATATTTTCTGATTATTTTATTGTATCATGTCAGAGAGCATATGTCTGGATGATGATGGTAAAAACATGTGGATTAATGTGTTTCAACCTAATCCATCCCAATTAAGTTTAATATTACTGATATTTGTTTAAACTCATTATTTCATCAGGGTGTATAAAATGAAGATTTTTCCACACCAATTATTATTCATAGTTGGAGTTCTATAAAGGACTTCATTCTGAAACAAAATTTGCAAGTAAGAGACAATAAAAATGCTGCTTTCTCATTAATTTTCAGAAAAATAAGTTGTTTTAGCAGAAACCTTCAAAGAGAAGCAAAAAAGCTTCTGAAGAAAAAGAGTACCACTGTGTGGTCATGAATTTTTATATATTTGGTATATTTCCACTTATTGCAGTTATTTATTGCAGTGAAAGCCGCTTTAAATTGTCCTTCTTACATGAACTTAGTAGATTTTGCTTTTGTAACACAAAATGCCCAAAGCTATCCTTAACATATCTTTTTTATCCCAGATATGGGATCGGACTCTTCTCTAAGAAATACTAGTTCTTTTCACTGTAGAGTCTACAATTTAGTGACTGCTTCTAGACTGTACTGGTTAATTACTTCCTGGACTTTTCTATGGCAATAGGGAGAGAAAAAGTATTTTTTAGAGAAAAATAAGAGGTCATGTTGATGCTGTGATTCAAAGTAAAGATTGCAGCTTTTAACATAATTCCTACTGTTTTATACCTCTTTTAGCACTGTGTATCTTCCCATATAAAGGTAACCCTAAGGAATGACATAAAAAATATTTATACTATCATTTCAAATTAATATGTTCTTCTAAATGCCAATGATAGAAAAATGACCAAATGTATAACTTGCCAACATGGTTTATGATTACTTTAGGATTACATCTAATTTGATGATAAGATGTGATGATATCAGTAGGTTCAGTTCAACTTTCTTACTAAAAGGTAAGTCAATAAAAATTTTAAGTAACCTTTATAATTGGTCATGATATTTTTATATTTTGAGTAGAATATATTTCATAATGACTAGGAATTATTCTTATCATCCTAAAATTTCTAGAGTGGGCATGTTTAGAACTTTATAAAGTCTGATTAGAAGTTAATTTTTCTTCCCAATTTTTTTCAACTTTACAGAAGAAAAATCAGTAAGCTAAAATTCTAATTTCCAATTTAGCCAAGGGAAAAGTATAAGCTCCTTTACATGTACATGACTATAACAAATGGTATACTTAGTAAAAGTAGTTTAATGTTATTTTTGTTTTCTTACTAATTGCTAGAGAACTACACAATACTTTTGGCACATACTCAAGAAAGGAAGAGATCAGTAACAAGACTGTGACAAAAGGGTGCTATAAATGCTTGTTTGATCCATGACCTACTGATACTAGCTGGAACTAGTCATTTCTACTACTTGTTATATAATATATATAAGACAAGAGCAAAACTAACAGAGTTATGAACCACAAATATAACTGATAAACACAAAATGAAGCAAGTGGCAAAATAAAAATTATTCAATCAATATTTCATTAAGTTGAAAAATTCAACATTATATATTATTACAGTAGAGGATTTCCATTCACATTTCATAAATTAAAATAGAAAATTTAGGTAAATTTTTCACAAGAAAATAATTATGGAGGTAATTTACATTACTTTTTAGACATCATTAATACTCAAGTTTTAATGTAATATTATGAAAAATTATGAGATAATTACCATAAATGTGAAAGTTTTGTAAGAGTACAATACCTTGGTCAGTGCTGCAGTATGATCTTCTCCACAACAAATATAAACTATTTTCTGTGTTCTTAGTGACTTTAGTAAATTAGGAACGTACCTATCTGAAAATTGAAACAAGAAATGTTAGCAGTATTTTTAAATTAAAACTCTTCTGAAACGTGTTTCCTCAAACTCTGTAGTGATAACTAAAAATATTTAACTATGGGGCCTCGGTGATGGCCTAAGGGTTGCCTCAGCACTATCACCACAAACAGCCTGGGTTCAATCCCCAATCATGGAGCTAACACATATACGGCATAGCAGACCTCTTCTGTCTCATCTGCTACTCCCCTCAGCTACTTCCCTCAGCAGTGTATTTCGGTGGATCTGCCTGTTCTGCTCCCCATTCTGTCTCTGGTGAATCCTCTCACCCCCAACACCTATAGCCTATACCCCTGCTTCTCTACTAAATCTTTTTTTTTTAACTAGTAACTGATTTAATACTTTTGTAGTATAAGCCTACTAACTTGAGTCCTAGGCCTTTCAATTCATACTACTATAATGAAGTAGGGGTTTTGATGCAATTAAATACCTTACTCCGCAGTCAAGAAATTCAAAACCATTTGACTGCTTCATACATACATTCTTATTCTTATATATTATTATAATCCCTTCACAACAATAATGCTCACAAATTCTACTTAAAAACTTGATAATATACTTTCAGCTTTTTCACAGCAGGGAAGAGTTTTAAATTCCTTATCTGCTACCTTTTCATTATGCAGAACAAAATATTTTAAAATCTGAAAGTATTTGCTTATTATTAGCAGTTGTTACTAGATCAACAATTTACTTTTGTTTATTTAAATCATTGCAAGTATGTTAAATTTTAGTTTTTTATATTTCAAATATGGGTATTAGACCTAATGTCATTATGATAAAAAATTAAATTTCCCATAAAAAAATCCCAACTTGATTCAAGTTGTTTCATAATTTTTAAAAGTTAACAGATTTATTTTCAAGACTTTAGTCTTAGTATTAAAAGTGAAACCCAAAATAAAAATTAATTTAATGATTCAAATTATTAAAATTTCCTTGAAAAATTCCTAATAGATTTAACACTTCATGTTACTTTCCAGAATAATTTAAAGACTTCTTTCCAATGGTGGCCAACAATTATGTGATTATCAATTTGAAGAACCATCTTTCAACTTTATTACAATATCCAAGAACAAAGATTTTTGTTCAGGTATACTTTCCAGAGACTATGAGAAAAGGATGACTTTTATGGTCTTCTCTCCATCCCTAAAAATATTAGCAAATTGAATTTTTAAATTAACTTCCCATAAATTTCTCCCACTACATTACAAAATACCAAATCTTTTAAAAAGTGTATCTATAATTAATGAAAAACCTACCATTTTCATCATTAAGACCTAGTTGACCAAATTTGTTGCGTCCCCATCCAAAGATAGCTCCAGAAAGGGTTAGGACAAAACTATGGGCTCCTCCTGCAGCAACTTGCATGAAAGGGATTCCAAGCAAGGACTTAATCAACTGTGGTGAAGCTTGCCTTTTACAGTCAGTGCCTAAACCCAACTGGCCATATTTATTCTGTCCCCAACAGAAGACTTCACTTGCTGTAAGACAAAAATTATAAAATAAAACATTTTCCTCACATTAAAAAAAAAAAACATTTCATTTGAAGATCATCAATTATTTGGAGATACTCCAAATTCTATTAACACACTTTAGGTTCCACTGACTAAACTAATGAATAAGTCATGTATCTAAGGGGAACTCATTTACTTGTTTCTCAAATATGACCAGAGTATGGAGGTTCTCCAAAAATTTAAAAAGAGGTACTGTATGATAGAATAACTCCACTTCAAGGTATTTACCTGAGGAATTTGAAAACATATCAACCCCTGTGTTCACTACAGTACAATAACCGACATATGGAAACAACCCAAGTGCCCAGTGAAAGATAACAGAATAACAAAGTGTGGTACATATACACAATAAAATACTATTTAATCATAACAATAATGTAATCTTGACATGGACCTTGAGGAGATTATGCTACATGAACTAAGTCAGAAGAAGAAAAACAAGTAACACATGATTTCACTCATTTGTGGAATATAAAGAAAAAAAAACCCCAAACTCAAACCAACCAACAGAATGGTGTTTGGTGTTACCAGAAGGAAAGAAGGAAAGAGGAAACATGAAAAGAAGATGACTGTTGGTAGATGATAACTGGACATTTAGTGGTAAGGATGGTGTGATACACAGTTATCACAAGTAACAAATATTGGACACTTACATAGAAAAATCAACAAAACAAAATACTTATAAAAAGTAGCAAATATGAATTACCAACTGAGGCTTCTGAGGTTTAGAGAGAGAGGGATAGAAGGAGAAAGGGACAAAGGGATATTAAAAATGGTGGCAGGGAAAAAATCGTGACTTCTATGAATTACACCAAAACCTTTATATGGTATATGTCAGAATTCAATGAGTAAAGTAAGGAAGAATTTGCTGAAAACATTGGAAATAGGTTTAAGTTACCTTTCTTTTTTTAAACTGTAATCACTGAATGCTTCTTGTAAAAAATATGAACAAGAGTGGGCTTTGTACGACTATTCAATAATTGTGGAAGCAATTTTGAGACGAGCAAATGTGTGATCAAACTGAAGAGCAAAAGAATTAGGCAGATGAACTATAAGGGGTCAAGTATTGGGTGAAAAATCAATGGCAAAACATTTTAAATAAGCGCATTCTTAATTTATATACAGGTTAATACCTTATCTGTTACAAAGTAGTATGGTTTTCTTTCTAAAAAAATATGGCTAGATCTATTCAATACCTTACCTGGTTCCTATAATAGTTCTCTATGCAATTTCTGCTACCCCCACTGTCACCTTCTTTTAAAACTTTAACATTTTGTTTTTACTAAATAGCTGTCATTAAATTATTTTTTTAAGTCAGTTACTCCTAGGTCAATTACTAGTTTAACTAACTATATAATAGTAAACACTCGAAAGTAAGTTCTCCTCCAAAATTAAGATCTCTAGTTCCTTTCCCAAGAGTCAACCACTCTTACCAATTACTGATAACATATCTGCAGAAATAATCTACATGTATTCCCGAAATGATCACGGCCCTTTGTAACAGATTCTATTTTACTTCAAACTCCACTGAACTATGTTTACAATATCCACATAGAATGACTTGCCACTAGTCAAAAACACAAAGTACTTTCCTGATCCTATGTTTTTATTAGTATAGATCACCTTAGCTAATCCTCAACATTTTCCTTACATACTTCTTAGTAGCTGTACAATTTGGAATAAATTCTATCTATCTTCAAAAAAGAATATACCAATCCCCTTCTTCTTATAAGCAGTTCTATTTTACTGAATGTAACTACCTTTTTATTCATTCTCATAGCATTTTTTAAATTTTATATATTTTTTACATCATTTTTCATTTTCACATATGCTTTATCCACTCATGTTTGGCCCCAAGGAGTTCCCATCACCAGTTCATATGTGCACCATCACCACAGTCCCTGGTGTTCTTTCCACCCATTTTAAACCATTTTCTTACTCCCCACCTCCAAAGAATGTCTCTGGATTATAGTTTCCTGTTGATTCTGAGTTTTACTTTGCCTAATTACTATTTTCCCCCAACCCCTTATGTGGGCCTCCCTACATCCTCTTATAAGTGAGATCATCTGGTAGTTTTCTTTTATTTTCTGGCTTATTTCACTGAGCATGATCCCTTCCAACTCCAACCATGTTGTTGTGGATGGCATGAGTTTATCATTTTGATTGCTGTGTAATACTCCATTGTGAATATATACTATATCTTCTTGATCCAGTCACCTATTTTGGGGCAATTGGGTTATTTCCATAGCTTATCTATTGTGAATTGTGCTGCAATAAACAAAGGAGTGCAGGTGCTCTTTTGAATTAATGTTTTTGTATCTTTTGGTAAATGTCCAGGAGTGGAAGTGCTAGAACAAATGGGAGGTCCATTTTTAGCAATTTGAGGAACCTCCATAGAGCTTTCCAGTGTTTGGACCAGTTTGCATTCCCACCTCAAAGCATTTTACTTTTACCTTGACCAAAATAGTTCGCTTTTTTTTCTGCTCCAACTATTGTTATTTATTTGTATTACCTGCTAGGTGGTATCACCCCTAAAATATTATCTGTACTTCCCAAAGCTCTAGCCTGTCCTTTGTATGTCTGTGAAAACTGGCAAGCTAATTCTAAAGTGTACAAGAAGTAGGACAATCCTGAATAACAACAACAGAGTTGGAGAACTTTTTGCTCACTTAAAATATTAATAAAAATAAAAAAGGAAAAAATAAAAACAACACTTACCTTTAGAAAGTGCAAGTGAATGATAGTAACCACAAGCAACCTGTGCTATCTGGATATCTGACAAACTTTTAATATTTCTAGAAAATAAGAAGACATATCAAGATCAGTTAACTCTATTTAAGAAAGGAATCTTGAATGCTATATATTTATGCCATATTGATCACCTATTATATAGTAATTTCCTACCAACCTAGCAGTTCATGCTTTACATCCTATAATCCAATTTAACAAAATTTTGATAAAATGAGGGGGGATGAGAAAACACTTTGAAAGGGCAATATTTAAGCAAACTATGCTCACACTATACTTACTCAAATATTCCAAAGTGTTCTTACAAATCTAATGCTTTTCTTTTATTATCATCAATTTTTAAAAATCTTTAATGTGTGAATCTTGGCAATATATTTATGAAAGAAAAAAAATGAATATGATCTAATTACCTAAAATTAGTTTGGCCTCGTTTAATATATTTTTTCCTCTATCAGCTCCTTAAGAAATGGTGAATATTATGTGGTAGACCATTTCACATCATAAAACCTATTGTTTATAGTCTATCCTTTTGTTTTACATCTAAATCAGTGACAACCCTTTTATTTTTATCAGGAAAGTCTAACCAATGTGTGTTATGATCACTGATGTGTTCATATTTTTTCCATGTGTTTTTTTCCATGTTTTTTAGCTTTTTCCCTCTGTTCTCATTTTTCTTCACTGCAGTACAACTATCAAGATTATTTTTAAAACATAAAAATCAAATAACTTTGTACATGAACTATCCCAGGTTTTCTTATGTAGTTCCCCTTCGCCTGATCATTCTGATTTTCCAGAATGTTTTCAAGAAAACAAGGGGAGAGAAAACAATGTGTGTTTCTTATTGCCCTTTACCTGATACTGCCACCTGACCTGATTCTGCCATATGAGAGTCCGGAGCAAGTTCTGACCAGAGTGTCGATACCCATGATTTTCGGGAGGCAGCTTCAGCAAATCAAATTTTGAGCAGGAGAAAGGAGAGTTACTCTAATTCCATATTGTTGTATTAAAAATATTTTTATTTAGTGGATTTATGTTCTTAACTACAAAACCTGAGAGATGTACTGCTATTTAGCAGAATCCAATAAATTAGCAAGATCCAATACCTTCAGATTTTCAAATGTTAGGAAAACACTATTTTTCTACATTTAGCAAATACTGACAAAGCAAAAGTAGGAATGAAAAATAAATGGACATGTACAACTGTAGTGAAGTTACTAAGTATTTACTAGTACTGAATATAGTATTAGGCACATCACACAAAGACATATGAATGATTTTAAATAATTTTAAAATCCAAATGCTTCAGATATCAAGTCTAATTTACAAGACCAAGAAAAAGGTTTCAAAAGACTTTTATTCTCATAGCTTCACTTTATACTTTCACAGCATTTATCACCAGTAATTATCAGTGTGCTTATTCACTTAATTAATAGTGTATATTTGTGCTAACCAGTAAAATCCGCAGTCAGATTATGTGTTTTATAAACTATGGATTCCCTAGCACCTACCATAATGTCTGGCAAAGTGTATATAATGAACATACTGCTATGTTGAATTTGCAAAGTCTTTACACTTTAAGTAAGAAATTATTCATAAAATGTACCTGAAGGACCTAAATTCACAGAGCCAATTTACAACTCAGTGACTTTCATTTCTAAAATACTATCAAAAGACTTGAAATATACATAAATGCTAATTTCATTCAAAATGCCTACCTCAAAGAAAAGGAAATGCATTCTTCTGTCATTAGGTTTTAAAGAAAAAACATCTCGTTTCATTTCTGCATAAATTTAATAATATACTGAATATGGGGGTGTTAACATATGCCCTACTATTTTACCTTTCAGGAATAAAAAACTAAGTTAATACAGTGGCTGGCAAAACTTAATTTATGAAATTAATTTCCCATGCTCCACTTTTTTTCTGGAGAGATTATAAGCTAGAAGATTCATAATGAAGTAGAACTTTATAGATTTCATTAAAAGTAATCTGGGCCCTCCCTGGTGGCACAGAGGGTTAAAGCACAGCACTGAGAATCTAAAGCCGCTTCTGCATGAGTTCGATTCCCACCTGCCCCGGAGGTGACCACATGGCATGGCAGACCTCTCCTGACCCGCCCACTGCTCCCCTCATCAGTGTACTTCCTCGATCTGCCTGTTCTGTTCCCCACTCTGTCTCTGGTGAAGCCTCTCACCGCTGCTGGGCCTCTGGCCTGTACTCTAGTTCTGTATGCACAAATAAATAAATCTTTAAAAAAAAAAAAGTAATCTGGCTTTTGACCAGAGGAGAAAATAATAACAATGAACAACTATATATCAGAAACATTTTATGGGGGTGAAATGTGGAATGGAATCAACAAGGGTGGGGGGAGGGAAGTGCACTGGACTATGGTGATAACACACAGGTGATATGGTAATGGGAAGGCCACAGGGATTATAACTGAGAAGGAAAAAAGAACAAAATGCTGTAAAAATAAACTATTATATTATTTTAAAATAATAATAATAATCTGGCTTTTTAAAGTAAAAAAAGATAATGCAAGTAAGTGTTTAATGTTTTTTAATTTTTTTAAATTAATTAATAAGAAAGTAAAATAAGCCAGAATACTGTAAAAGTTTTATTTTTACATGTAAAAATACGCAAATACACACACACAACATAAAGATTCCTATGACCTATTAAAAAACACAGATGTGGCCCTCCCTGGTGGCACAGTGGGTTAAAGCACAGCACTGAGAAGCTAAAGGCATGTCAGCACGAGTTCAATCCCCACCTCAGAGGTGACCACACGGCAGACCTCTCCTGACCAGCCCACTGCTCCCCTCAGCCAGTGTACTTGGTCAGTCAGCTTGTTCTGCTCCCCACTTTGTCTCTGGTGAATCCTCTCATCATCCCTGTACCTCTGGCCTGTACCCCAGTTCTATATTCATAAATAAATAAATCTTTAAAATAAAAAATACAGAGATGTCTAAAGCAAAAACATTCTACTGCTTACAAATTAATTTCCTAAAGTCTAGAACATACGAAAGATTTTAAATGACTATGACATCTCTAAAATGATTCACTTTTAAGAATAATAAATTTCTTTCTGAATTTTAAAAGATATTTGGAATTTGAAATGAAAGTTAATAAATTTAGAAATGATATCTATACTCATTCTAGGGAATACTGCAGAAACATATTAATTACTGGATATTTCATATTCATTAATAGTAGGGTTATATAGAGCAATACTGCTTTATTGCTCTAGTTTTCCAACTTAATATACACAAGCAATAAAAATAGAAACAAGGTATTTCTAGTTGTTTGGAAAGATGAAATTCCTAGACTGATGAAAAGTTTACAATGTATAATTAAAAATGAAAAACTATAGCATTAAATATTTTGTCAATTCTAAACTTATCAAAGTATATTAAGTACAGCTTTTTACATATCAATCATACCTTAGTAAAGTGGCTTTAAAATTTTTACCAATAAAACATAATTAACAATATTCTTTTCTGAAGTCAAACCACAACTTTCTTAGTGAATTGTATATTAACAGTATAGCATTACTAACATAATTTTTTTCAATTTTTAAAAATTTAGATTAACTGAATCTGATTTAGTCTACACCATAAAAAATGTTTAATTTTTAAAAATTCAGATGCTAGTACTAAGCAGAAATTTATAAAACATGATGATAACTAAGTGACCAAGCTGGCAATTTAAACATATATAATTAAATTTTGTAGTCCAGAAATACCTATTACCACAAGGATCATATTATAACATCTTGTTAAGATATTTTATCAATTATGTCCCAAAACAGAAGTTTAAAAATAAACTACTTCTTTATTTCCAACAATCACTTTTCTAAAGTATGCATGCAAAAAGTATTTCAGCAAAGAAGATACAATGGAACAAAGAAAATTTGTTCACCAAATGGTGCTGGGAAAACTGGGAAGCTACATGCAAAAAAATGAAACTAGATCACTGCCTCACTCCAGTCACAAAAATCAACTC